TGTGACCTCATTCACCCTCCCCTATTGAAAGAGTCTAACAAAAAATAGAGGTTTTCAGGAGAATGTCAGACACACATGGAGCGGCATTAGGTGGTGTCTCCCATGGGCCCAACTTTAAGGAAAAATATTTCCTTGTCTGTCTTTCTTTTCAACAACCACTTGATCACTTTGAGAGACACTGAATCCACGTTGAGATATTGGGAGCTGGTCTCGCAATAGTAGACAGGAAAGATGAAAGAGCACAACGTAACAAACGTCCTCTGGGGCTCCAGAGGTCATGGATACCTTTGCTATATGCTGCCATGGCACCACAGGAAGTTCTATTACTGCCAGCACCCAGAACGACTTGTCCTGGCCTCTGTATTTGCTCACCTGTGTGGCCATCCCATTAGGGGCTGAGAGCTCTGGGCTGAGTAAATGCACCAACTCCTTAGTGAGACCCGCAAAGGTGTCAAAGGAACTACCCATTTCAGTACAATCCCTGGCACTACATAATTAGTGTTGTGGCTGTTTCTAAGGGGAGGCATTCTCTTAGGTTTGTGAGGCATACAGGTTTTTTTAAACTTTTCATTCTTTTTAACCAAATTTAGAAGCCAGGAAGGGCTTAGCAGGAATGATATTTCCTTTCAAGGTCAACCAAGATTCTCTAAGTAACAGGACATCAAAGTTCAGTTTTAGAAAGTTCTACATTAGTTCATTAAAACTAAATAAAAACTCTAACATATCTTCAAAAAGGAGGATATTACAATTAAAAGGTGTAAGGCCGGTTGCCTCGCCAGGAGTTCGAACATGCCCATCTCCCTCCCCGCTTGAAAATTACATTATCAGAATATACCCATCATCTAGCTCCGCCTTGGAAATCCCCTCTGCACTCGGCACCTAGCCCACCTTGGAAATCCCCTCTGCACTCAGCACTTATCCCGCTCACTGGAAATCCCACCTACCTACCAATAGCAGCTCACCCTGTCCACATCCTGTTTCTCCAAATCCAATCAAACGCCTTCACTCCCTATAAAACCCCACTCCTGAGAGGAGTCAGGCGCGACTTCCCTGGTCCCTCTCCCCAGGACCACAGAACCTCGCCCGGGAGCTGAATAAATTGGCATCTAATTTTCTTGTGCTGGCCTCAGTTTCCTCATTTTTAACTTGGCAATAAACCTACAGAGAATAAACTTTACAAAAGTTTTTTGAGGAATGGTGATTTTCTTACTTTTGAATATATGAATACTTTTTAGTTTTGTCTAGTATATGAAAGAAATCTGTAAGTTCAAGTCAAATCTAATTTTTAAAAATTCTAAATTTGCTATATCTATATTTATAGATGAATTAAATACTTGAAATTAAAAAAGAAATTTAAGTGCTCTTTAAAAATTATAAATGGCCAGGAGAGCATACAAAGAATCAAGGGGAAAAAGATTCTAGAAAGCTAGAAATGTGATTTTAGTCTTTGAATCTCTGCACACCCTTCATAAAAACAGACAAAAGCAAGGAGGATATAAAAACAAAAGACCTACAGACATTATCTACTATAAAACCAGTATTTGGGAGGCTGAGGCACAAGAATCGCTTGAACCTGGGAGGCAGAGTTTGCAGTGAGCTGAGATGATGACACTGCACTCTAGTCTGAGCAACAGAGTGAGGCAGTGTCTAAAAACAACCAAAGAGAAAAAAAAAAAAAAAACAAAACAGTATCAGTGGGCAGGGGTAAATTGGTAGCACACATAAAGACACAAACAGTTTAAAAAACTGTAGAAGAAAATGAAAGTAAACCAAAAAAGACAGAAAAGAGAATCATCATCAGGTACTTTCTGGAGACTTCAGCTGGCCATTCCATTCTGGGAATAGCAACAGAAACTAGGAGAAGACTTTGTAGGCTTTAATTCAAAGTTGAAAACAAAGGAACTACATGAAGGTTCTCTGCTAGAGATAACTGAGGGTCTGGGCCCAAAGGACACTCAAAACCAATAAAGAGAAGCACCCTAGTATGTTAAAGGACCAGCCTGAGAAGTCTAGATGGACCAAGAGAGGCATACTAGGAATAAAGGAAAGAGGAAGTGCAGGCAAAAGAGGGCCACAGAAGTGTTATTTTGACCCATCCCTTCCTCCTAAACTAAATAAAACTCTTCTACTTTAAAAGCAAAAATAGGACTAGGTGCAGCAGCCATCCTTGTAGCCAAGGTGAGAGGATCACTTGAGGCCAGGAGTTTGAGACCAGCGTGCGCAATAAATGGAGACTCCTGTCTCCACAAAAAAGAAAATAGCTGGGCATGGCAGTGTGTGCCTGTGGTCTCAGCTACTCAGGAAGATGAGGTGTGAGGATCGCTTGAGCCTAGGATGCCAAGGCTGCAGACAGCCATGATAGTGCCAGTGCACTCCAGCATGGGTGACAGAGCAAGATCCTGTGTCAAAAAAGAAAAGGAAAGCAAAGAAAGAATAAAGAGCAAAATAATGTCCATACAGGAAACTCAAGCACTTAAGAAAGACCAGTCATAAAATAAATGAAGACAATAACCCAGTATTTAATAAGCTAATAGAAATTAAGAAAATAAAGGAACTAGAAAAGTCAGACTTGGAGTAACTTGGAAACAAGGTGATGAGAAGAGAAAAAAATGTAAAAAATATTTCAGAAATGAAGACTGAATTTAAAAAAACGCAAATGGTAATGCCTCAAGAGAAGGAAAAGACAGGAAGTAAGAAAATAAAGAAGAAATTAAGAGATTAGAAAAACTCAAGAGAAAGTAACAGCTATAGATGCCCAAATAACATGTAAGCTTCATCCAACAGGAACCCCTGAAGAAAAGTAAATTAACAAAACAGAAAATACTAAAGAAAATAATGCCAAATAACAAGATTTGGAACTACCCAGAAGAATCCACTATGTACCTAGCAGTATCAACCAAAAGGACCATAATTAAGAAAACTGTAGTAAAACAAAAGGACTTTAAAGGAAAAGAATTATTTGAGCATCCAGGCAAAAAGACTAAGTCACTTGTAAGATGAAGAAAGTCAGATGTTCACCACATTTGACCAAAATACTTTATGACAAAACAGACTGGCATATCCAAGATGCTCAACAAAAAATTGTTGAATCAAGATGGTTTTTAATCTAGCCAAAACCATCTTGAAGTTTTTGAGCAAAAGATTAATTTTATTCACATGGAAGAACTTGGGAATACTGTGCCCGTGAGTCCTCACAAGAGCATCTATTGGAGGATTAGTTCCAGAAAACCAAAATGATTAAGCTATCAACATAAGCATTTGTGGTGACTATTATATGTATATTTACTTATACAACTAAGAATAAATAATGGCTTGAGGGAGAAGGTATAGTAGTTCACAACAAGAATGTAAGAATATATACAGTAAAAAAGTTCACTGTCATCTTTCAGCTATAAACTTTAAGTTAAAGCATACTAATTCAAGTTAGATTCTTCAAAGAAGAGGATGTAGAAGACACTGGCTAATTTGTTAATTTTAACAACTCATGCATTCAGTACAGCACTGAAGTGTGGGAACTAGCAATCTGTACTATGTAATACTGTCACACCACCCTGTCAACTTATCATTGAAAGTTTAATTATAGTTCATATTCATTGAAAACTTACTGCATGCCAGATGCTTCTCTAAGTGCTTTAAATATATTCATGTTATTCAGTTCTCCCAGCAACTTTATAATATAGTTATTATTAACAGTTTCAATTTACAGATAAGGTAATTAGGAAACAGAGCTGACATCCAAAGTGCAAGCAGTCTGATAACAGAGCCTGTTTTCTTTCCAACTATGCTAGCATGAGAAAATGACAAAGCTAATAGGTGTGGTGGTGCTCACCTGTAGACCGAGCTACTTAGGTGGCTGAGGCAGGAGAATTGCTTGAACCAGGAGGTGAAGGTTGCAGTGAGCCGAGGTCGTTCCACTGCACTCCAGCCTAGTGACAGAGCGAGACTTTCTCTCAAAAAAAAAAAAAAGTTACATAGCTAAAATGAACTTTCACCCTCTGCTTTTGATGAGAATTATGTATGTTATTAAAAGGTCATCACGCCGGCTGCCATGGCTCATGCCTATAATTCCCAGCACTTTCGGAGGTTGAGGCAGGCAGACCACAAGGTGAGAAAATCAAGACCAGCCTGGTTAACATGGCAAAACCTCGTCTCTACTAAAAATACAAAAATTATCTGGGTATGGCTGCTGTGCCTGTAATCGTAGCTACTCAGAAGGCTGAGGCAGGACAATCACTTGAACCAGGGAGTTGAAGGTTGCAATGAGCCAAGGTCAGCACCACTGCACTCCAGCCTGGCAACAGAGCAAGGCTCCGTCAAAAAAAAAAAAAAAAAAAAAAAAGTCACATGTTGTTCATAAACTCTGATTAGAAGTTATACATTTTAATGAAAGCAGGGAAATTATTTAAAATATACAAAATTAAGTTTGGCAAACAAAATACTTGAAAGTTGTCATAAAAATGACTAATGGCAGAGCTTAGTGGTAAAATATAAATAGTTCCTACAGATATCCTCATACTTATTTCATCTTTTTTTACTAGCCCCAATATTAGACATGAATTTAACTAGGAAGTGGGTCACTTCACATTCACTCACTTTTTCAATATCATGATTATCTCACCTTTTGTCATCATGTCTCTTTTTTTCCCCCTTCCTCTACTTAATCTGTCTCTAGTCTTCATAGAGTCTACAAACTTTACTAAGCATCTAGCACGTGCTGGCCACTATGCCTCTTAAGACAAGTCTCAGCCTTACACTGGGGAGTACAGGCATCAGGCAGGGCTTCCTAAAGGACATGGAGACTGGAAGAAAATCCATGACAGGAATGAAAAGAGGGATGGAATATGTTTTGGATAGTAAGTGCTGCGAGACCAAAGAATTTCATCGAGGCAAAATAACAAGACCGTTACGATTAAAATATTTTTCTGTTTTTTTGAGAAAGATATATTTATACTATAAAAGTGGCAATCAAAGTTTATCAAATTCAGTCTTTGAATACTTACATTTAATTCACTTTTTAGCACTTCTTCAAGAAGATGACTTACATATTTGTTATCTTCCTCTATATCTGTAACTACACAAATCTCTTGGGAAATTTTCTCTGAAATTAAAAAAAAAAAATTACGTTTCAAACAAAACATATAACAAGGCCCTAGGATGCTGAAACCTAAACTTACCTGATGTTCTTAGCTGTTGACCAAAAATAGGAAGGTTCTGACTTTAGCCCAAGTGGATTAATCTGTGTCCACACTAAGATGGCCTTGATCCAGTTTACGACCCCAGTCCATAAATCTATCCATTAAACACTTTGTGGGTGAAGAAGCAGCCATTGTGCAACTAACAGAAATAAGATATTTTAGGATGCATTCAGTAGGGAGTAACTAGAGGTGACTACCATTTCAAGTTCAACAATTCAATCTTTCCATGTTTATAACGAGTCTCCCAGAACCCAACAAATTCCTTCTCAAACAGATTCACTCTTTAGGCTACAGGTTATTCCCTATGCACAGACTTACTGTGCCATCCAGTGCCCTGGTTAAGTACATCATGTTCCTTGGCATTCCTCTAGATTTTCAATTCAATAAAATTAACTTCCTGTTCTGACTACAGCCATAACAAGTAAAAAACAGCTGAAATAATTTTCTTCACATCTGGAAGAGCTGAGATGGTCTGATTTAAAATTTATGAACTATGTGACACAGTGATAGTCACCTCTGGAAACCCTGGATACATTCTCTCAAAAGATATTAAGTCCTGCTCTACAGCAGGCAAATCAGAAGGTACCCTGATTCAAGGTATGGTGACCTCTTGTTTTCATGATATGAAGTTCAACCATGAGCTGAAGTCTGAAATTTTTTCTTAATCCCCATATTCCTATCTTAAAATTTTTCAGTATTTTCTTCCTTCCACTATCTTTCAGTTTCATTTGCTGCTTTTCTTTTTAAAAATGTCTAAGTTGCTGACTCTCTTCCTTTTTTCTACTATTTACATTTAAGTCTCTAAATTTTCCTCTAGTAACAGTTTTAGTTGTATCTCAAACAATGTGATATTTTCACTCAATTTAAATTACTTCACATTTAGTTTAAAAGATGTCATTTCTTTTTATTTGCTTTTGTTTACAATCGTATCATTAGAAACATCTAATTTCTATTGTTTCTTATTTCACCTATGGATTATGTAGAATTTTACTGTTTTTATTAGATTGCTATGCAACAATTTCTATAAATTTGGTGGTTTAAACACCACCCCATTAAGTAGTTCACAGTGCTACTGGTGAAGAGATGAAGGAGGAGACGGAGAAGAAAGTGTGACGGAAAAGGTGTGAGGGGAGTACATGAACAGAAATGATAAAGTAAATGAGACAAAATGTAAATAGCTGGTTAAGTACTGAATCTAGGTAGGTAAAAGACAGGGAAGCTATTTGTGTTATTTCTGTATCTTTTAAGTTTGAAACTGATTTAAAAAGTACCCTCTCCTAAAAACAAAAATTAAGAAAAAATTTATGAATCTATATTAATAGCAGTAGACTTTAAAGTTCACCTCTCGTAAGTGAACAAAACATAAGGATGTAGATTCTAGATTCATAAGTAACGTCATAAGAAATATGGTGGATCTACTATTGTCTTGGTTTCTACATTGTCAGCTAATCATTCCTAATTCCCAGTTATTTGCAATCTATAGTGGTCTGCATTTCACAGGCCAATTTCTTACAATGTCTATGGAACCAATCAATATGTCCTTCCTACTGATAAATTCTCTGTCTACAGTCATTCAAAGATTAGACCACAAACCAAATCTTTATCAATTTCTAATTCAATGGTTATCAACTGGTTGCACATCACAATCAACATAAATATCTTTTTGTTTTCCTTTTATATTTTCAAATATCAATGTGTAGTGCATATCAAACAAGATACTAGCCTACATATTTGTAAAGTTCCAAAAGTGATTCTGATGTACAGCCAGATTAAAAACCTCTGCTTAGGTACTGCATTGATTTTTTTTATGATGTCAGAATTGTAAAAAGTTCTGTCACATATAGAACCTTTATAAATATGGTTTCATATATATAACACCAAATTTATACTTTATATATAGTGTCATACATATCATTTGTATCATATATACTATATAGATATAAATAGTAACAATCTATGATCTACCATATATTAATGATACTATTTAGAGAGCTCTACCTGTTTATACCTATACAGTGTATATTTCATGTTAACGTTTTGTTTGCAAGTTATTAAATAACTTTCAAACTTAAAAGATACAATAATGAAGAGCTTCCCTTTTACATAGATTTACTAACACATCGCATACGTATCATATATATATGACAATATATAGATGATACTGTATCTTTAAGTATACACAGGTAGAACTATATAAATGATTCTATATATGTGTGCATGTATCTGTATGTATACTATTTGTGTGTGTTTATATATAGGGTATGTATGTATCCTACTATAGCCAATCACCTGAAATGGAATATTTGGGACTATTTTTGCATTTTTCTTTAATCTTCTGTGTGGCAATTGGAGGATGGTGAGGATGGTGAGTTCACTGAGAAGAGAGTTGTGTTCAGTTGACCATTATACAGAAACTTTGATATTTCTGACATACAACTATTTTAAAAACCCAAACCCACACAAACACTATTCTTATCTGCATGCCTCACTGGTTTTACAATTAAGCAATCCCTCACCTTTACAAAGGTGATATTAAATAAGATAACATATTTAATAACTACAGATATAAGAAACCTGACAGGCATTCAATATTTGTTGAGGGAAATATAATTTTTAAATTTTTATACAATTTCAATTCTATATCTGAACAGATGCTGAAAGTAGCATATTGATACTTTGGCAGCTCTTTGCATGTGTGAAATGAGAAGAGACCAAAGAATGATTTCTATGCAGTCAAATTTTCTTTAAGGATTTTACTTTTTAAAAGATTATTATGAAGCACACATCCGTAAAAGGACAAATCGAGGGCAAGGAGATGGACTTGAAGAGTCTTTTCATTTACTGATGACTTCATTGTGTTACGCATTGTCTGCTCAAAATTGAGTAAGAAGTGACAGCAACTATTACTGCATTTTCCAACTAGTGTAACAATTTTAAGATTCATCTTTCTGTAGAATAAAATATTGTCATTTTAAAAATAGACATGTGTAAGAGGAAGGCAGGAGATGTGTGTAAAAGACTACATTTTGCGATTTTAGTAAGGATTAGATAATGTGTAAAATTATTTCTGGTGCCTGGTACTAGGAAACACCTAGTCGATGATGCAATTATGCTGTTATGGGCACATACATTAAGAACATAAATTGAAATAACTTCTGTCTACTCAAAAATATCAATTTCTGACTTCAAATTAATTTATTCTTTATGGTCTTGATATTTCAAAGTTTGGTAAACAATCCATATCAACTGCATCCCACTAAGACTTTGTTTCAAATTTCCAAGTTTTAGCAAACATGCCATAATCATATGTGACAATGGAATACAAGTTTTATGTAATACAGCTATGTTTGCATTTCTGAATTTCTTTAAAACAAATGCCTACTCGTTCTCATTGTTTAAATCTTAATATCTCCACTAAGATCTAGGCTGAAGCATTTTATGTGATTGCTATTGACAATTTCAAAAGCATGCTGCACTATCAATCTTCATTGTGGATGGTAATTAAGATAGTCTCAAAAAAAGGAAAAACCAGTAATGACTGTACCTGTACCATAGACTTGGAAGTTCAGAATAGAAGAAAATAGAACTACAGGAGCAGGGCTCCAATAAATTAATTGAACCTCCTCAATCTCAGTGTTATTCTAGTAACCCAAAACTCAATGAGAGGAGGAAAGGCACACGAAATATTGAAAAATCATTTTTTCACAAAGCACAAAATTCTTTCCAAACTTATGATTAATACTGATGATTTTCTCAAAGAAAGCAAAGCACGTAACGACTACTTTGAGGTTAAAGATATCAAAAACATAGAAGCCTTTAGAATTCTTAATCTCTGTTCCATTAATAAAGCACTTCTTAGAAAATTCCAGAGGTTGAACTAAAAATAGTGAGGCTTATCACAAAACCATTTTACATTCCAGAATTATACAAACTTTAATACAAAAATCTAGTCTTTGTACTACCCCTGAAAACAGACCTGAGAATAAATTATAAAGTACTTAGACGTAACATTAAATGATACATGACCTGTCAATTTGACTGATATCAGCCTCCAAGTTTTAGTTTTTACATTACCCTATTTTTTAAATAGCTTCTAAAAAGGCAGTGGCAGTGGGCAAAATACTAATGTCATAACAAGTAGGGTCCCCCCAAAATAATTTTAACATATAATCTGATTTACACTGAATAACTTTGTCTATAGCATTTAAAGGTCACATAGCTTGTTATGATTTAACAGAGAGAAAACTCACATCAGCATAATCGATAGCCTTGTATTGAAAACTAAGCATTAAATAAGAAGCCCAGATTTTTCAGTTAATACATCAGCCAATGTCTGAGAACCTCTAAAGGGTAAAGATATATATATATATATATATTGCCAACTAAAATTATGCCAAAAAGAAACAATATTCAACTTAACTTTCCTGGCTCCAATGGTTAATTTGTGTATCAACCTGACTGGACCACAGGGTACCCAGATATTTGGTCAAATATCACATTAAGTGTTTCAGTGAAGGTGTTTTGGATTGAGATTAACATTTAAATAGGTAGGATGAATAAAGCAGATGGTGATTCACACTATAGGTAATCCTCATCCAATCAAATGAAAGCCTGAGACATCTACTCTTCAGATTTTGGACTTACCAGCCTACATAAGTTGGTGAGCCAAATGTTGATCTGTATCCATATCTATACCTCCTCTATTGGTGTTCCTCTGCAGAACTGTCTTATATGGGCAAAGCTCTAAGCATTCTTCACCAGGTAACCAGTAATTCCCAGGTCCTCATCATAGGATTCCCACCTCTTCTCATCCTATACAAAGCAGTCAACTCATACCTTATTCGTCAATCAACCAATGCTTCCTACCAATTTCTTGAACCTACCTATAAAATACATGTTCCCC